ACCGCTCTTTCTTCCACCTCCGCTCTTTATTATCTCCCCTTTAATTTTCGTTTTTTCGCCTTTGCTTTTTTCGCCCAAGCTTTCAAGATTCCTTGATACTCCCTCTCGCACACTGACCATAACAACCTCGTCCTCTCCCGAGATTTTCTCATCCCGCCCTTCGTACAGCGCCGTAATTTCGAAATGTTAGCATGGGCAAAAATGTAATCGAACATAATTTGGGACGATCTTTGTCTTTCATTCTCCAAACCCTATAGTCTGAACTCGCCAGATATGTCCAGTGATGCCCGCAAAGGGACCATTTCGTAATTTTCACCCGGGGATCCTCGAGGTGATTAAATTAAAGTGTGTGTGGAATTTTGAACATCTCTCTTCCTTTCACTTTAGCTGCTTCTTCCCTTCCCCCACCTCTCTCTCTCTCTCTCTCTCTCTCTCTTGTTCTTTCTTCTTCTTCTTCTTCCTTGGTCTTCTTCTTTTGCCTTTTTGTTCTGCTTTCTGCTTCATACAAGCTCTGGTGTTCATCACTGGTTCATGGATATTGAACCCTCTTGGGATCTTGGGGGGTGGTTTTTTCTTTTCATAAATTGCATGGCAACATCAATTGACCAAACCAACAGTACCAAATCACATTCCGTTGTCCTTCTTCTCCTTCTTCTCATAACATCCTTCTTGTTTCTCGGTCTTCTTCTCATCATTAGCCCTACAAACCCAATAGCTCATAACCAATCCTCGCACCGTAAAGGCTCTACGACCTCATCAAAGGACACTATGGCCTCATCGTCGTCACCTTTCAAGAGGGTTCTTCTCGAATCTTCGGCTCCGGCCTCATCAACCATGGCTTTCCAACCAAAGGCTCGCACCCGTTCACGAAAAGAACGTGCTTCTTCTTCTTCTTCGAAGAGGAGAGATCAGTTTGGAGCCGATGCACACGAAGTTCCAAGCGGTCCGAACCCGATTTCGAACTAGGTGAGTTTTGTGAGTGGTGGTTCTCGAGAAAAGTGGGTTTGGATGAGTCGCAATATATATATGAGTTTATAGATATATATGGAAGCTGGTCATGGAGTTACTAGAGGTGAGATTATCATGGATTTATTATATTTTTAATGTATTACTCGTCCTTCTTGTTTGTTTTGTTTCTATATATATTTTTTTTAAGTTAGAAATGTATAGAAAAGAATCGGATACTCTATTTTTCATGTGTATTTAGCCGCCTATTTCCTTTACTTATATAAATAATTCAAGATGTTATATATATATATATATATATATATATATATATATGTGTGTGTGTGTGTCGCTATATCTACAAATTGAAGATATATATTTCGGTTGCATATGTAGAATCCATTGTTCTCTCATGAACATATTTATTTGTTTATGAAACTTAGAAAAATCTAAATAGTGAAATATTTACTATATATATATCAAGGCCACTCCTTTGGGAACGTTGCGATATATTTGCAATGGTAAGAAATTGGTTTCTGCTACCTTTTCACTCGTTACGATTAAGATAATTAGATTATGGTGGAATATATAATTAATAACTATATCAAGTTCTATTCTTTTCCCGGTAACAATGGCTAGTGGCTCCTTTTATAAATAGTTTTAAAATCTAACACAAATTCGGAAAATTATGTTTCAGCGACTTAATTTCGGAACGATAATAGTGTTTGTAAAATTTCTTCCTTTAATTAATGCACGTTGACGACAGTCGAGATTAGGGTTTCAAAGGAATTTGCAAAATAATAATGCACGTGTTTGTAGAGGTGTAGATAAACCCAAAGGCTGTATACGTTCAGGTCGTGGGGAATTCGACAGACCATTTTACATATTTGGTTTCTCAATATATAAATATACGGACACATACATAATACATATATAAACGATTTTTTTTTATTTAAATTATTATATAAAAATAATATGATAAGAATGTGAATCACAAGATATATATATATCTGCTTAAATAAGTGAAAGAGGTGCTGTAAAAGTTATTTTTTAAGAAGAGAAAATGAGGATCCAGGCTTTTATTTTATGGGGTTGAAGACAGAAACTATATACAAAGAGGCAAAATTATTTTGACAAGAAAAGTTTTGTACTTTTGCTTTGTGTCATCTCAAGGAAAGGAAAAAAAAAAAGTAATGATTTGATAATTATAATTGAATCATTTTCCCTGTTGTTGAATTATATGCCCTTCAATCATTACCCTTATTATTTCATTCTTCTCTTCCCATTTTATTCATTTTTTTTTCTTGATTTGTGAATATTTCCAAGGAAACAATATCCTTTTTGGAAAAAATGTTAAATATAATTTCTATTTCAATTTTACAAAAAAAATATATTATTTTTAGTTTTAGGTTTTCACTATTTACTAAATAGTGATGCTTTATACGAAGACAAATGGGGGTAGTGTTTAGAAATATATTTTCCTGTATTATTGTTTAGCTAAATTATAACATATGATAGAGAATTATATACTTCTCCTTGTTTAGCTAAATTAGGATATATGATTAGTATAATTTATATGATCTAAAATTAATGTTTAATTAGCATTAGAATAATAAGGTGGTAACTAATTTGTATGGTGTCGGATTAATTGTTAATCTAATCAATATATATGACAAATACACAGAGATTTAATGGATTATAGAAAAAAAAAAAGATAATCATACAATAATAACCAAAACGAAAATTGAATAACGAGTCTTCCCTATATTCATTCTCTTATATACTCGCTGTTATTATCGACCTGTCGTCTCTCACATGATTTTTAAATTAATTCGTTTACGAATGATAAATACAAAAAAATTATTCTACAATTTATATTGGTACGAAAGTCTATTCATACCGTTATTTCGACGCCGTTACTCATCATGAACAACTTCACCGTCTTCAAATTTCTTGTAATCATGGTAATTCTGCCACAGTTAAAATCTCTGAAAACATCCAAAAACATCAACGGATTGGTGAAAAATAAAAATCTTTTTCGGTATTTTTAGAGTGATTTGAGAGATTTATGAGAGGACTGACAAAGGAAAATTACAAACGATTATACAATTTGCTGTTCACGGTCCAATCATACTCATCACTATAAAAGAGAGAAAAAGAGTAAAAAAAAAAGCACTTATAAAATTATATATAGAAAAAATCCAAAAAAAAATATTCAACTTTACGCTTTTGACAAAAAAACACTAAACTTTAGTTTTTGTCAAATAAACATTAAACTTTTTAAACCAGTCTAAAAAAACACTAAACTTTTTAAATGATCCAAAAAATACATAAACTTTTCTGCGATTATCAAAAAAACACTGAACTTTTCTAGTGATCCAAAAAAATACATGAAGTTTTTCCGATTATAAAAAAAAAACTAAGTAAAATAATCTGACGTGTTTGCATCTAATTGGGCCACGCCATTCATTTTGTTTATTTTGACAATCGTAGAAGAGTTAAGTGTTTATTTTGTCAAATTTAAAAAGTTTAATGTTTATTTGATAAAATAAAAAGTTCACTGTTTTTTTTTTGGTCAAAATTGTAAAGTTTAGTGTTTTTTTTATAGATTTTCCCTTATATTTGCATGTATATATATATACACGCAGGATCGGTGGGCGTTTCCATTTAGTTTCTCACAGCAAACCGTACTAAATCGAAAAATACGGTATTTTTTCGAACCCAACCGTCCAAAATTCTTAAAGGATATTTTTTTTAGAAAACTGAATTTTCCGGGACCGAAGCGAAGCGAATCAAATTTTTTTAAAAAATCTGACAAATCAAAAAATTCTTAAAAAGAGAGATTTTTTTTAATAAGAATCGAAAACGAACCGAATCACAACCGGAACCGAACTGAAATTTTAAAAAATCTAAAAAACCGAAAATTTCTTAAAAAGATCTATTTTTTTTAATAAAAATCGAAATCGAATTTCGGAATCGAAACCGAATCGAATCGAAAACCAATTGGTACAGATTTTTATAAGACCCAAATTAAGAACCGGATCCCAACTGAATATCAAAACACTCATAGCTGATTGCATTGTGTGAACGATGAAGAAACCTTCATTGTAACAACAAGTAACAAGACTGAACTTTATGGGTGCAAATATGGGTGCTCATGTATTGTTCAGAATATTCAGAACTTACACGCGTAATACACAAAATTTTAAATTTTAATATATAAATATAAACTAAAAATTAATATACTGAATTTTTATTTTCAAAATAAATATATTTCAAATTTTAATTTATTTCATTATTTTTGAATTTATATATTTCAATACTTTTTAATACCATTATAAATATAAAAATGCAAATTTTCAAAATATATTGAAGTAATAATGATGATAAATAGTTAGCATATTTATATATAAAATTAAAATGACTAAATTATTTTTAGAATTTTTAATACAAAATGTATTGTATATCTTAATATTTATATCATTATAGTATTTTTAAAATTATAATTAATCAGTACCAAAAAAAATATGATGAATACATTAACTTTCTCCAGAGGAACGGAAGCACGGTGGTAGAGTGAGTGCAGCCTCTCGCCGCTTAAGCCAAAAGCTCTTCATCTTTCGCTTCTGAGTTTATGGGATTTTGTGGATTCGATTCCATTGGTTAATCTCGATCCTTTCGTCGGCCATGGAACATCAGATGTTGAAGGACGACGAAACTGAGGAAGAAATCTCCGATTCGTTTCTCTGTTGCGTTTGCCTGTAAGCTTTCCTTTCATAATTCCGTGTTTGTTTCCTGCTCCGATTCCAGTCTGTTCGTACCCTGGTTTGGTGTATCTGGTGTTAGAGTTTGCCCTAATCTGAAATGAGTGTAGGTTAATTTGATCAGCCTATAGACCTATCCATAATTTCGTCGAAGAATTTGATAGAAATCTCATGATTCAGATCGATTCGCTCCGTTAGTTGTCACGATCCTCTTGGCTATAGTTTCAGCAATCTCTGAGTTGTGTCTGTGTCTTGTGAGGGCACAAATTATGCAACTGAGTGGTTTGCTGTGTCGGGATTCAGCTCAAAATTTTCTAGCCGAGACATGTAAAAGTTTGAGTGGCTATTGCTAGGTGTGGAAGCTTGCCCGAAAGTAAATAGATTCCTTTTCAGTTGATCATTCTGATCAATCGATGTATCAATTGTCGTGAAGGGGGGGTGTGTAAATGGAGGCAATGCTCATAGAAGTTTGATCCAATTTTAATGTCATTGGGTACATTACCGGGTTATTGCCATATGCTAAGTATGGATTATGAAACTGGGAGTATGAAAATTTACATGAGAAGAGATCATGCTCGGCTATTGAATAGTTTTGATAAAGCATGGAAGTGAGAGTAAGAAATTTACATGAAAAGAGACTAAGTTCTAGTTTTGAATAATTTTAGTTACGCGGGTAGTTTAGTTCATACCATCAGCTGGAGGATGTGCCATTACATCGCAGATTGATTACGCTCAATGGACAGTGAATGCTTCCTTTTTTAGTCACAAAGATGACGAATGAGTTGTATATCTCACTTATCTGACAAACTGAGTCTGTTGAGTTACTTCTTTTGCAGGGAACTTCTTTACAAACCAATTGTGTTATGTAAGTTAACATAGTTGGGAAAAAACCATCTCTTTTTCTTCTTTTCCCTTATAATGCATTGGTTTCTTATGTATTTTTGTTCCTTTGCTGCTCTTTGTGCAGCATGTGGTCATCTATCATGTTTTTGGTGTGTTTATAAGTCCATGAACGGCCTGCGCCAGTCCCATTGTCCCATCTGTAGAGACCCTTATCTTCACTTTCCGTCGGTCTGTCAAAAGCTCCATTTCTTGTTAAAGCAGCTATACCCTCTCGCTCACAGGAAGAGAGAGGAGCAGATTCTAAGTGAGCTTTTGGCTCTTGTTACTTCATCTAGTTTCTTGTTGCAAATCAAGACGTCTGGTTACTGTGATCTTTGACAAACTCCATTGTTGATGCTTATAGTTTGTAAATTTCCGTGTCTCAGAGGAAGAATGGAAACGACGTTGTTTTTCTCCGCAGATTGATGCTGTCATAGATGAACTAAAGACTGCTGTAGAATCCGGCTGCAATGGAACTTCCGTAAATATCTCTGGTGGAGATACTGTTTCCAAACGCCAGAGTATCTCCTTGTTTCCAAATTCAAGAATTTCTTTATGTTCTTGTGTACTGATACCCACACTCTTGTCTTCTCCGGATAAAGGTGACAGTCCATGCATCACCAACAATGGAGAATCCATAGTGGCAGAAACTGCCGATGAGGATGATTTGTCTAGGACCAAAAAAGACCGTAAGCAGATATCGAAAGATGATTTGCTCTGTTCGGCATGTAAGAAGCTGCTCGTCCGACCTGTAGTTCTCAACTGTGGCCATGGTACTGTACCGCGTGTTTGTTTTTTGTTGAGATTACGATTTCTGAGATGCCTCATAATTTCTTTGCTCAAACTTCCTCGAAATAAACTTGTGCGTAATCCTTTTTCAGCATACTGCAGAGCATGTATTATGAATCCAACAGAAGAAAACAAGAAGATCAGATGTCAAGAATGCCAAGTTTTGGACCCAAGGGGGTTTCCAAAAGTTTGTCTGGTTCTTGAGCAATTTTTGGAGGAAACATTCCCCGAGGAATATATTTTTCGGAGCACTGATGCCGAGAGAAAGCAAGCCCAGAATGATACGATAAGTGCGCCCCCTATACCCGGTTTTATCTGTTTCGAATTTTTTCCTGTGAAACAGAATCCTTTTGATACGTTTATTAGCTGATATTGATGTCGTGGACGCATATACACATGAACACAAGATGTTCTTCATATCAAGAATGAGCAATGAATTTCTGTCATGTTTTTTTATAAATCAATCTCAGGGTCTCAAACTTTTCATGAAGGAGGTCCATCTTTACCATCTACGAATGATTTTCTCTGGCGGGCACACTCTGGATCCAACGTTCACAGAGGAGCCGGCTGTGATTCTTGCGGCGTAAGTCTCTCTTAAGTCTTATCCATAGTACTCGCTGTTCGAGAATACAAATCTCCCTCGAAAAACGGAAACTATATCTTTACTTTACCTCCGCAGATATATCCGATAGTGGGGGATCGTTATAAATGCAAGGACTGCAATGAGGTTATGGGGTACGACCTTTGCAACGACTGTTACAACACTCGTTCCAAGCTTCCGGGGAGATTCAATCAGCAGCACACACCGGACCACAGGCTCGAAAGCGTGCCCGTTCCTCGGTTACGTTTCGTGACTAGACTCCATCAAAACAGAACCAATTCCATTGTTTTCCTTCCAGAGGCTTCTGCCAGAGACGATGGGAGCGTCTCAGGCCGTGGTTCCAATGAGGAAGAAGACAGTGCAAGAGAATCGGAACAATGACGATGAGGAAGAGTCCAATAACCGAAATTATTCAGGATCAAGCTCTGTCTGAGAATGACACAAAACTCATGTCCGAAAGTGTAAATAAAAGATGCACTGAAACTTTGTTAACTTTAGGGTAGTTTTATCGTTTTTTCCAAATTGTGTTTTGAGGTGAGGAGGATTGCGTGACGTCTCTGCCGGGGGAAAAACGGAGGGGTGTGCGTGGGGCTGCCAATAAAACGGCAGGCGGGGGGGGGCACATGTAGAAAGATTCTCCTTAATAGTGCGTGAGAGGCACGTGCGCTGTGATGGGTCGGAATGGAACCTGAAGCTTGCGCTTTTGCATGGAAAACCCAAACGCTTTGAAATGCGAGTTTCGAGAAACTAAAATAATAATTAATATTATATAATCTCGATAATCATAATATCCATGTTGAAAAAGCACTTCACGCGCTAGGGTTCAGCGCGTGGAAAACATTTTTGGCGCTTAAAAAATGGCGGGAGGACGTGAAAAGGGAATTGCATGTAGTTTAGTTTCAACCCCCAAAAAAATAGTTTACATACGATATTCTATTGTGGGAGGGATGTGAGATCTGAGCTTGAGGGACGTCGCACGTGTGGCATTCGTACGGTTAAATTTTGTTACCCCCTCGTGAAGAGGTTAAAAAAGAGAAAGAATCGGACTTTATGATTGGTACTGTTCGTATTTACTAACCATTTCTTCCTCTATTTTTTTTTTCGAATGACACGTGATTGTGTTTTTATGATATTTTCACGATGTTTATAACTGTAACATAGAAGAAGCATGGATCCATGTAGCATTATTGGTACAAGGTTAGGGCTCTTGTTTGTAGCCCAATAACGGTAAGGAGGGAGGGTTCATGTCGTAAATGTTAATGATCCAATTTCAACCTCTGGATCAATATGAATGAATATTAGAAGAAGAAAATTTGCACGAGACCAGTTTCGTCATAGATTACAAAGCGTTACGGTGCGATGGAAGTATATCAAATCGGAATTCGAAGACGAAGAAAAGGGAATTTGGATGAACTTATTATATATGCTCCTTCAAAAACAAAATTGAAAATGTCTTTTAAAAGTATCAAATACGATCAAAGGAGAAGCCAACAAGCTAAGCTTGTGGATCAACAGAACCAAAACAAACTAATGATCATATAATATTTCAAAATATAAACCAATACTAATCCGGAGAATCGAATTCTAATTATACCAAACCCTTAACAGACCCATCTTAATAGGAACCTAATCGAATTCCGCAAACCCTTGTTTTCCTCTATATATATATATATATATTATCCTTTAAAAATACAAATACATACAGACTATAATTTGATGAGATTCGGTTTTTATACATTTTCAAAGTAAAATATTTTATTTTTATTCATTGATAGATATTCCAATCTTCTTACCGGGTGTTTGTTTATCTCTAGTTTTTTCTAAATTCTAATATTGAGATAAATTCTAAATTTAATAAATCCATTCAAACGTTGTGGTGCATAATAAAACTAAAACTAAGGAATATCAGAATATAGAGAATAAGTGAAAAAAAAATAGTAAGGACAGTACGGTGTGAAAAGTATCCATTCCGTAAGAATTTGGAAAGGATGCACTGTAAAACTGTACTGCATACAAATCGTAGGTTGGTTTCATGATTAGAATCCGTGAAATTTACTTCATCTTTTTGTGTGTGGTAACAACGGTAAAAATGTAAAACGCATCTGTTTTTTTATTTAAATGAAGAATGTGAATTTGAAACAAAAGCTACATAGGCTATCCAACGGTCGAAATTAAATAATGAAATGCATAATAACCCAACCGTAATTCACAAATCATCATGTTTCATAACCCCAAAGATATGTTGCAACTTGCAAGGCATAATATTTGATTGGATATGGAAAATAACTTACTAAATATACTATACTATATATGTATTAAAATATTTTATAACATCTATTAAAAATATATAGTGACCCATAACATAAAACTCTTTACATAATTTTTCATATTTCTTGGATCATCTCTATAGAGATAATTTTTTTTTGTTAATTAAATACACAAAATCGTCTTGATTTAAATAAATCGAATGGAATAATATGTAATTATACTTAAAATTTTAAAAAATTAAAACTTTATTGCAAATGAATTTTTCAATTAAATTAATATAATACATGTTTAATTAGAAAATAAAACAAATAAAAAAATGGATAAAAGAACTAGAAAATATCGAACCTGAGAGAGTCATCACTTCTACACGTACGTGCGCATTGAGCCGGACGAACCCCATTGACATGGGCATTTTAAAACTAACTTTATATAATATTATCATATTTCTTCCAATTTATTTAATTATTTTTTTTTCATGCGTGATGTAGACAGTACTGTATTTCCACGTATAAATACTGTATATACAATTCACAAAGCTACAAAAAGAGGCTTGTCGTTCCATAGGGTCACAGGATTTCATGAGATTCCCCAAAAAAGTTTGAAAATAATAATAATAATTAATAATTATTTCATACCTTTAATTGTTTTTAATTATTTCTTTTCTCTTTGCCCCTCCTTTAGTCTGCATTTTCGAGAAATAATGTTTTTTTTTTTGGGTAAAAGGGAATCCAATAATTACTGCTCCTGCCCAAATAACATTGTAGTATATAGATGTGAGTATTTCGATATTCAGTTTGGGTTACAATTCAGTTCAGTTTTATTAGTTTTATAAAAATATATATCAATCGATTATTATATTATATTCGATTCGATTCGATTTCGGTTTTGGTTTTTATTAAAAAAAATTAGATATTCTTAAGAAAGTTTCGATTTTTCAGATTTTTTTAAAAAATTCGAATTGGTTATGCAAAATTCGGTTTTTTTTTATAAAAAAATAATATCGTTCGAAAATTTTGTATGTTCGATTCGAAAAAAATACCGTATTTTTCAGTTAGATACGATTCGGTTTTGATGAGCCGTACAGAAATGTACACCTATATCAGTTTAATATAAATCAGAATCAAAACCTTTTACCGATTATATATATAACGTATATACATTACTATCTAAATTTAGGTTTAAAACTATCTTATATTTATAGGAAAAGCAAGATAAGGTTCCATTGAAATAATCTTGCTTTTGACAAGTTTAGGTGATATGCGCCAATATCTCATCTTTATGAATGGTCGACCGACGGAAATTTATTTAGAAAAATGCCTTTTATTAAAATCATGAAAAAATAAAGCTTTAAACTTTCGGCATCATATTCATATATACACTTTTCTATGTACAAACCGGCACGCACACGTAATGGCATAGAAAAACACTGTATTATATTTAATGGAGTAATCCACCAATACAAAAATTAACATGAGAGTGTGCTAATAGAACGGGAATTCGAATATTTCAGATCTCAAATCTAAACTCAAACTTTGATAAATATAGATTTTTTAATTTGAATTTTAATATTAAGGATTTAGACACCGTATTCTGAATTCCAAATATATATATATATATATATTATAATCTATAAATTCACCAAACAATCGACTTAATTATGTGTTTCAAAAGATCGAGAAATTCAGTAAATACCCTTTTCAAGTGAAAAAAAATATTTTACACTTTATATTTTAACATTGCAGTTGCAAGTTTCACTAAGTAATTTACTTTCGCAAAAAGAAAAATATATGGGAGGTTATTTTGTAAAACTTGTAAGTTGAGAGGACAATCAGCAATACACTCACAAAATAGACTAATTTATCTAAATTTTAAATACAGAAATATAAATTTCATGCAAAATAAAAGTCATTCAGTAAAAAAAAAAAGCTAACAATATATTGCAGTGAATTTTTCAAAACCCACATGATTGAAAAGTCTCTCTCTTGGGATTATCCCATTTTTCAACTCCCTATTTATGACTCGGCATTTTTTGTCCACACCATTCTTCTTGTTATATTTTTCAACATTTTCCTTGTTTTCTTTGTTTGTAAATTTATCATTCTTATTTCCAAATGTGTATTGGCCTAACGTGTGTATATATTAGAGAAAAACATTAAACTTTACAATTTTGATAATTTTGACAGAAAAAATACCGAACTTTTATTTTTATCAAATAAATATTAATTTTTTTTTAAATAAAATTTAAAAAATACTACGATCCAGAAAAATACATAAACTTTTATGTCACTGTCAACAAATACTAAAATTTTAAAATGATTCAAAAAATATATAAACTATATATAATTGTCAAAAAACCCCAATGATAATAATTTTAACGTGTTTGCATCTCCTTTTATCACGTCAATTCATTTGTTTATTTTGATAATGGTAAAAGAGTTAAGTGTTTTTTGACAAATTTAAAAAATTTAATATTTATTTGATAAAATCAAAAGTTTAGTATTTTTTATCAAAATTAAAAAATTACAGTATTTTTTTTGGATTTTTCTCTATATATTATTACTTACGTTGTATAAAAGCCAATAAAATTATACAGATGTAGACATAAATAAACCAATATAATTTAAAGCCAATACTTTTAGATTTTGCTATATTACACTCAATATCATTTTGATAATTGAAATTTATTAGATTGTCTATATTTTTTAAAAAAGAAAATAGTAAGGTGAAAAAAAGAAGCATAGTAATCGTGAACCCCCAAAAAAACCCTAACATTTTCCTCGCACTATTTCTTTACCCTTCACTAGTTCTTTCAGTTTTTCACGTTAAAAATCCGTTCTTTCCCTCCCCCCCTCTCTCTCTCTCTCTCTCTCTCTCTCTCTCTCTCCACACACGAGATCAAAGAGATACGCCGGGTACATGAAGAAATCGAAGATCGCCGGTGAAATTTCCGTCATGAGTGTCTCTCAGCCGACAACCACTTTCGGGTTTCGCACCAGAGCCGCCAAAAGCCTCGCCCTGCAACGCCTCCGCTCTCTTTCGCCGTCTCCGGCTGCCGAAGACGACTCCTTCCGTTACCTTCAGCTCCGGAGCCGCCGTCTCGTCAAGCTTCCGTCACCATCAGGGACGAGGAAACAACCGCAGCAGCAGTTGAGGCAGAGTCTCTGTCACGGTGAAACCAGAAACCCCAAGGATAAGCCCGGTCCGGCGAAATCCGGGTCGGATTTAGTTGCTCCGGTGCCGGAAAATGAAGGGCACTTCGGTGATAACGAGGGGATTGGTGGGTCTGATGGTAATTTAGGCGAAGCTTCGTCTGGAGAGAACAGTATCGATTTCGAACCGAAAGACAGGTACTGTTGTTGCTCTGGTGTAGTTCAATTGCATCTGCTTTCATGTCTTAAATCCCTAAAAACTTGGGAGGATAAAAAAAGGCTCAAACTTGGAGCTTTATCACTCTGCATTCGCATGGAGGAAACTTGAGTTTCTGAGTGTATTGTCGTGCAGGAGCACGAGGGAAAGCACGCCATGTAACTTGGTCTCAGATACCGAAGCCATTGGAACGCCTTGTTCCTCCACGAGGCGGATAAGCCCTGTCCGAACCCGCGAAAGAGCTCGTGATGGTTCGCTTGGGATTGTTCCTTCGTCTCGTGAGATAGAAGAGTTCCTTGAATCTGCTGAACAGCAAGAACAACGATTCTTTATACAGAAGTAATTGCCAAACTCTTCAGAAAAAAGGGTTCTGGTTCTTGAATCATGGTTTTTTTAGTTCCAGAAGCTGTTCTGTTCTGATTCAGGGGTTTACTGTCTTTTGCAGGTATAATTTCGATGTCCTGAATGATGTTCCATTACCTGGGCGTTACGAATGGGTTAAAATGGTGCCATGAATGGTACTGAGAGATGCAGCTTTGGTAGAATATATTACGCTTTCTGTATGTAAATATGTGTAATTTAGGGAGATCTGTATACCTTTAACAGAGCCTCGCAGACTAACAAGAGCTTAGTTAGGGTTTAGGCTTTAAGGTTCAGAGATTTGTCTTTCTGGTGACAAAGTTCTCATGTACTGCCGCTAACTTGTTAATGTAATGTGAATCCTCACTTGTTTCACAAGAAAGAAGTTCCTAGAGACGTTCGAATTCCAAGTTCTTGATCAAGAAGATTCTGGACATTTTATGAAACCCTTTCCTTCCTTGTCCATGTGTGATGTTACGGCCCGTCCTTACGAAAACACTGGAAAATCTCTTGGCTGTTTGGTCTTGAGCTCTGCTTCTATGGAGCTAGGGTTTCAGATCTTGGTTTCCAAAACGGAAACTGAACACCAAATCCATGGTTTTGAAGGATATATAATACAAAACAGAGAAAGGGGCGTTTCTGTTTCATTGAATCCAAGACCTTTGGCTGAGTGAAAATGGCCCTCTTCCACATAGGGTTGGGGTCAGTCTCTGTACGGCTCTCTGAGCAAACCCCCGTAGTCTTAGATTTCATCACGTCTCCTTTCTCTGTCGTCATTATTGCCATTTGCCACTGGACCTGCTTCTTTTACATTTACATGTTTTATCCGTCTGAATCTTTTCTTGAAAAGCAGAAAGTTAGCAGCTTTCTTTCATGGGGTTTTAGATTTTCTTGGATTCATGTTACAGATCTTGGCTTCTGAGCCTTTTGGATCTTTGCTCTTTGGACAAAATCCAATATTGAATTCGTGTCGGTTTCTGTATCCACCGGTTAAGGACCCCTTTCTCATGATTTCTCTCTCTCTCTCTCTCTCTCTCTCCAAATCCCAAATCTACAATATTTATCCATTATTCGGTTTGGACACATTTAGTAATTTTGTTTAGACACCAATTATTTTTACTTTTAGTTAACCATTTGTATTTTTGTTTACCGGTGCCGATCGAATTATTATCAAAAGACATGAATTTTGCCGAAAAAAAACTATTTTTAATATTGAAAAGTTATTAGGTTCAACAAATATATGTTTTGTCTCTTTTCATCTTTTTTTTTTTTTGGTATTTGCTTTTATGGTAATAAATAGAGACAGTATTAACTCTATAAATAGGCCCAATACAATTATATATGGGCCTTTATAATTCTTGTTAAAGCCCATCTACAAAGCCCTTTCAAAAACCCTAGCGACCACTGTCACTTCGTATGTATATATGTCCGCCATTAAAGCTCTTGTTGACCCGTTCTCCAGGGAGAGAGAGTAGAAGAATTAGGACAGCTCAGCTTCGCCGGAATCCCATCGAAAATGGTGTCGGGATCGGGGATATGCGCGAAGCGCGTGATTGTCGACGCGCGTCACCACATGTTGGGGCGTTTGGCGTCGATCATCGCCAAGGAATTGCTCAACGGACAGAAAGTGGTGGTTGTTCGGTGCGAGGAGATTTGTCTGTCGGGAGGTTTGGTCAGACAGAAGATGAAGTACATGAGGTTCCTCAGGAAGCGCATGAACACCAAGCCTTCTCACGGCCCGATTCACTTCCGTGCTCCTTCGAAGATCTTCTGGCGAACCGTTCGTGGGTTCGTGCCCTAATCTCATTATCTACATTGTGTTTATTTCTGTCCAATGGTGAACCAGGAACATAGGGTTCATTGTTCTTACCGCTTTAACGAGGATTATTGGATCAATGTATAATCATAGGGTGAGTGATTACACTGAGAAAGGAGCGTTTAACTATGCAAATGTGAGATCATGTACCAAAGATTAACGATGTTTATGTATGTCTTTGGATTTTGGAGAAATGGGTTATGCACATTGGGCATTTCTGGGTTGAGTTTAGATGGCAAGACCCTTAATTTCCTTAGATAGGAAGAATTTAGTTTCCTCTATTAACCTTTTATTTTCATGGATATTGAGGAGAAGTGTGATTTTTCGAAAGCTTCGGTCCAGTGATAACCTCATTTGTTTATCTAAAGTGACAATCTTTTTCGATATATGTTGAAGGATGATACCGCACAAGACTAAGCGCGGTGCAGCTGCTCTTGCCCGTCTGAAAGTGTTCGAGGGTGTTCCTCCTCCGTACGACAAGGTTAAGAGGATGGTGATCCCTGATGCTCTCAAGTAAGATTATGATCCTTTTGCTATTGTGATTTAATTTGTGCCCGGAAAATGTTTTGTACCGACCGGATTATTCGTTTTCGGGATTAGGGTTTTGAGACTCCAGAAGGGTCACAAGTACTGCTTGTTGGGTCGTCTATCTTCTGAAGTCGGATGGAACCACTATGATACCATCAGAGTAAGTTCCTCTTTTGATCTCTTCTTCTTGATTGCCCGTGCTTTTGGATTTGATGTTTACGCATTTAGCATACTTTGCGCATCGGAATGCTATTATTCAGAGATATTCTACCTGTTCTTGTAAGGTAAATAGTCACTTCGAGACTGGTTAATGCCTACGGTTGGCAGTCAAGGAGTGTAGCAAAAGCAAAGTTAGTACAAAAGATTACGAGTTTAGGGTTTTGGGGTTTGGATGCTCTCATCATTGCATATTCTTCTCGGATGGGATGGATGAGAACATCATTAACGATTCTAACTGCATATGTTTTAACCGAACCTCATGGTGGTTGATCTCTCGCTACCTTTTTTGGTTTTGCTTGCAGGAACTCGAGATAAAGAGAAAGGAAAGGTCTCAGGCCTTGTACGAGCGCAAGAAGCAGCTCAATAAGCTCAGGGCCAAGGCCGAGAAGGTCGCCGAGGATATACTCGGTTCCCAAATCGCCGTCCTCGCCCCGGTTAAGTACTGATAATACCTATATCCTTTCACTTGTTTGCCGAGCTCTTTCTTTTTTCTTCAATGTACCATTGGAAATTGCTGTTGGATTTTATCAGATGCAAAGAAAAGGCCTTTCATAGAGTTATAATCCATGCCCATTGCCGTCACAGCGAAATGACTGTAACACCCCTTGGTCTTAAAAAAATTACAGGAAACCTAGGGTTACACAAGCTCTCGTCTTTAATTTTCTGTCGTTTTTTTTTTAAATTTTTATTTTTGTGTTTCCATTTTGATTGATAAGGCGTTACATCGATCTCTCTTTGCCCTGATGACATACATGCATTAGAGGCTTATGGTATGCCCCATAATCACGAAGTCGGAAAGTAGCAAGTTTTCACATAGAACTTTGTAATATACCAATGGCTTATTATTATTATTATTATTATTATTATTATTATTATTATAATAATAATATAATATTACATGAATTATGTAATACTAGCACTTTCCGTTGTGTTCATTTCCGGTCTCTAATTTCTAGACCCATTATTTTATTTGCCTTCTTCCTTGGCTGGCCCCAAGAGACGACCACTTCGGCTAAACCTGCTCGCAAGCCAAAACATGACATAACTCAGCAACTGCTTCAGTTCAGACGAAGAAGCGTAAAAAGATTCAGACCAGAAAGATTCAACGTTCATCTGATCAGAAAGAAGATGGCACTTACCATAGATGATGAAGGTGAAGAAGAAACACTGTCATGGTCCTTCACCACCTCCCAGATTTGGTTCATCATCTCTCCCATGAAATCCTCTCCATCTGTTTCCTTAGCCTTGTAATCTACAGATTTCGCACATCCCTCGTTCACGTATTCTTCTTCTACTTTTTCCGTCTTACCCTCGGGAATCTCGGTATTTTCCTCGACAACATGAACATCGTATATGATCGGTTCTTTCTCAGGCAAGGAACCGTTCTCGTGGCTTTTCGTATCAGCCTCCTTCTCTTCCTTGTCATCATGGAAAGATAGAACCTTTTCAGCAGGACCCAAATCATCTTGCGAGGTTTCTCTGCAATGTTCAAATGGATAATCATCATCCATCTGCTTGTAAGCTTCGAGTTCCATCTCGAGAAAATGATTCTCCTTCTCCCGTCTAACGAGGATCTCCTTCAGAATCGTCATCTCTTCTTCATCATAAGCGAATTTCTCCTCCATCATTCTCTCGTACTGTTTTGCTTCCATTTCAAGAGAAGCTTTATCGGCTTGTAGCTTCAGAATCATAGCCATGGCTTCATCAGCAGCTGTTGCAGCCGCTGCCCTTTCTTTCTCGAGTTCCATAGCCATAGCAGCTTGAGCAGAGCTCTCTTCACGAAGGGCTCGTTCCAGCTTCTTCATGTCCTTAACAGACAAAGAATCTTCCCTCGTTTCATCAGTTTCTCCCGCCCTAACATTCACATTCACATTGTCTACTAACCCTGAACCCTCGTTGATTTTGATTTTCATCACCCCGGTATCGTCAGCACAACCTCGAGTCACCTGAGCATTATTACCTCTGAAGAAAAACAATGACGGCTTTACTCTGCGACGGGTACCAGTAACCCTCTGCTTCTGATTCATACTCTGCCTTGTTCTAACATCCGGATCACTTTCTCTATCACCCGAACTCTTGATTCTGAGTCCCGAAACTGAGGTTGACCCTTTTTGGTACCCAATTCTGAGAACATGATTTCCATTCTTTCCATCCGAACTAACCACCGAGGAGGCCAGGATCTCTTGCTCTTGATGCCAATCAATTCCAGAAGGCAGCCTATCGTTAGCCAGCTTCTGGATCATGTATATTTTCCTCAAAGGCCATTCGAAGAGAAGCCTATGCAGACACATTTCCTTGCTCTTGTACCCCAGAATCCCGGAACAGGGACAAGGCATGTCCAGACCAAAGGCAAGCAAGAATTTCGATGCAAGAAACACGACAGCCGATCCACATAGAAGGCTATAAGCAATAGCCAGTTCCAGGAAAGCAACTACCAGTCCTGAAAATGCCCATTTATTGCATTCCCTTGGGCCCATTTCTCTCTCGATGACAATCATCGATCGATGAAGGATTCCCCCTAGGGATTTGATCAAAGTGAATAAGAACACTGCCCAAATCTTGATGTATCTGTGCAGACCAACCTAAAACAAAACAAGGGGATCAACAAAGTCAAGATTTTTACCTCACAAGACACCACCCAACCCTAAAAACCAGAATTTTCCTCAGAGACTGAGATTTCTTACAGACAAATAAGAACGAAAAAAAAAATCCCAGAAAGACAACAACTTTGTACTAAAAACACATAACTTCGCGTCGATAAACACTAATTTCTCAGAGGTAAACGAAGATTCCCATGGCAGAAAACTGATCAATGAAAGTCTGAAATTCGGAACACAGAATCTAATCAACAAAAACCCTACGAGATCGCCGAATCCCAGAAGTTTTTTTTTTTTTTTTTTTGGTTAAATGAATCCCAGAAGTTTACCAGCCAAGAACTAATTCGACCGCACAAACCTTATTATACACGAAACTGTAGAGGAAAAAAAACAGAATTTACGGCGAGAAGAAAGGGGGGAAATGGATAAAAAGCAAAAGAAAAAAAACAGAACAGGAAAAAAGGGATAGAGGAAGAACCAGAGATCAGGTTGTTGTGAAACTGAAAGTGAAAAGATCGAAAAAAGGAGATAGAGAACTGGATGAGATCCACCGAAGCTCCAAACAGAGAATCTTCGTTGTCGTTTTTCCCTTTTTTATTTTGAGATTTTCTGTAAGGAAATTTATTTCTGACATGCTCGCCTTCCATCTGTTCGCCTTCCTTCCAAGTTTTTACGTCTTCCCCGCATATACACACATATTTATGTACGTACGTGTATATGTAATATGTGTATATATAATTCAGCCGCGAATGTGAAGCCGTCAGTTTTAACGGCGTTTTGGACGGAGGATGTGAAACTAAAAACTATAGTGGGCTGGATCCATTTTTACAATTGGGCCGACCCGAAACCTTTTTTTTTTTGCTCTTTTGAGAGGGAGATAACGTGTACTTGAATATGAACAAATTGTCACAAAAGTGACATTAACACCGTTAAATGTCACGGTGAAAAATGGACAATGATTCTGATTTCAGATATTATGAGTTATTTGTTGTTGATGATTAAAAATGAATAAAACCAAAATTAATTACATAAAACGAAAATTGAAATAAATGATCACAACACACAAGATTCGGTTTGGTTCGGTACGGTCTGGTTCAATCCAAATCCGAAATGAGAGATGATAAGATATGTTGGGTTTAGTGGATTAACTAACTCAACTCATTCATTATTGAATACGGATTTAGGTATTATAATTTTTATTAAGTGATTTTACAAAACCTAATCAATAAGAATTATGGGTTTAATAAACCTAACCCATTTTATCCTTTTTATCGCAATATTTTAATTTTCCTAGAATTCAAAACAAATCAATGCAACGATGCTTGGGGATTGAAAAGTCTTTAGACGGATCATTAGAAAAGGAATCGAAGACGAGGCGATGGCATTAACGATTATGAAAGATGGCATGAAAATTTGTGAGGAAATAAATATTAAAAAAATCCAAAAAAAAGCTCGATATATACATATATATATATATATTGTTTGGTTGTGAAACATCCACGTGGACATAGTCTAGTTTCTAGAAGAGACAAACCATACGGTCTCCACCGAAATTATGATATATATATATATATATATATATTAATAAATGAATGTAAATGTAAATATCATCGTGGTTTTTTGCATGTCTGTCACCCATCGATCGTACGTCATTCATGTTTCATGCACAGTCCTTAACCCTATTGCACTACGTTTGACAAGGATTTTTTTTTGGATGAAGGACAAGTTTTTTTCCCCAAACATAACCCTTATAATTGAACTATTTTTGTACATATTCTTTGCAATTTTTTCTTCGGGTAAATAAATTTATTTTCTAAAATAAAAAATGGGTTGGCAAAGAATATATCTATAGGTATAGTAGAAAATTTTGAATCGAAAGATCCATGATCCTCCTTTTCAACCAATCATGTTCGAGCTCAACACAACAAACTCTCCCATTCAACCGAACGCCACTCATCACCCACAACCCCCACCACTCAACTCCACCCACACAACTATTACCTTACCTAAAGATGCTGATCTATTAGGTTTGGGAGATGGTGATCCTTCTACAATTACCATAGATCAGTCCAGTATCTCAGATGATACTATGATGGAGGAAAACTCTGTTGATGAACCGATGATAGAGCATACAGAGCACTGCATGATGGAGTAAACCCCTTCTACCATCAATATTTAATGAATAAGTACAACTCAAGCATTCTGTTATGGAACTGCCAAGGAGCGGCTAACAAGCGTTTTCTATATGCGTTTAGTTTATGGAAACAAGAACATAAACCCATGATTGCTTTCCTATTCGAACTGAGAGTTAGTGGGGTCAAAGTAGATCAAGTTATCAGGCAATTGGGTTACCCCTCTTCCCATCGGATAGAAGCTGAAGGATTTTCAGGAGGTCTTTGGGCATGTTGGACCCCCAATTTGTCAACCTCCGGATCCAGGTACAACATTTTTAATTTTTACATTGTATGATTGAGCTTGTGGCAGGATTTTCCTTTTCTTTTACAGCGGTTTATGCCAGTCCAAGAGCTCAGGAAAGAGAACGAGTATGGCAAAGTCTGATCAGCCTATCTAGGAGTGTAAAAAGACTGTGGTTTATAGGTGGCGATTTTAACACCATAGCCTTCATCTCTGAGAAACGGGGGAGAGCAACGACAAGAGATGGCAAATGTCGTCATTTCAGGGACTGCATAGAATAATGCAAACTAGTAGATTTATGGTTCATGGGTCCAGGCTTTACATGGAAGCGAAGCAACGTTGAGGAAAGACTGGATCGATTCCTAGGGAACATTGAAGGAATCTCGAGATTCCCTATAACAAGGTTCAACATCTAGCTCGGATCAAATCAGATCACTGCCCCTTACTATTCTCCCTTACACAACAGATCGCTGTAGAGACGAACAAACCATTCAGGCTTCAGTCAGCTTGGACTAGCCACCCAGATTTCAGGAATTTTGTATCTAGCTCGTGGAAAAGTCTTCCTAATATCGCCCACACTATTGCGGATTTCACATCGCAGGTAACCAAGTGGAACTTTCAGGTATTTAGAAACATATGGAGAAGGAAAAGGCGCTTAAAGGCTCGAATCAGGGGTATCGAGAAAGCACTGACCCAGAACCCCTTGAGTCAGTTTCTGCTTGATTTGGAAACTCAACTAAAGGAAGAGTTTGAGTTAACTTTACACCAAGAAGAGATATATTGGTTCCAACAATTCAAAATCGAATGGATAAATAGTGGTGATAGAAATACCAGTTACTTCCACGCCAAGACTGTAATTCGAAGAAGACGAAACACAATTCACAGCCTTAAGAACGAGGCGGGGAACTGGGTGTCAAGCGAGGAATTGAAAAACTTGGCAGTGAATTATTTTGAACACCTCTATACTGAGGAGACATCAGAAAACCATAATAGAATAAGCGGAATGTTTTTCTCTCTTGACCCAAGTCGTCTACGACTTAGGCTTGCCCACCCTCGACATTGGAAGTCCAAGAAACCTTTTTCTCTATGAACCCCTTCAAGAGCCCAGGACCAGACGGGTTGAGTCCCCTCTTCTTTCAGAATCAATGGGAGAAAGTAGGAATGGACCTTTATTCAGTTGCTCGTCGGATATTTGAAGGAGTTCAGATGAACCCAGCTATCAACAACACATTACTGGTTCTCATTCCCAAGGTGCAGAATCCTGAATCCATTTTCCAATTCAGACCTATTAGCCTCTGTAATGTGGCACACAAAGTCCTAACCAAGGTCATAGCCAACCGTCTAAAACCCTTGTTGCCTGATCTTATCGGTCCTGAACAGAATAGTTTCATACGTGTGGCAGGCATATCACGGCTAACATCATCATGCTTCAAGAAATAATACACTTTATGGACAAACTAATTAAGAGGAAGAAAGGGTATATGATAATCAAAGTGGACCTTGAGAAAGCATATGACAGAATAAGATGGTGTTTTATTGAAGAAACTCTCCTTGAAGCAGACCTCCCGTACAACCTAATCGCTATTATCATGCAATGTATTACGACAACAAGCATGAATATAGTGTGGAATGGTCAATAATCCAGAAAATTTTTTCCGACAAGAGAAATCCGATAGGGATGTCCTCTATCCCCATATTTATTTGTCCTGTGTATAGAAAGATTGTCACATCTCATCAAACAGAAAGCTTTAGAGAATAAATGGAAGGGGTTTCTGGTTAAAAGGGGTGCACCGATCCTGACCCATTTGTTCTTCGCGGACGATCTCATCCTCTTCGCTGAAGCAACAACCAACTAAATGGAGATAATTTGTGATATACGAAACGTTTTCTATGAGGCTTATGGGGAAAGAGTAAGCAAGCAAAAAACAGTGGTACATTATTCCTCTAATGTCAATGTTGATCTAGAAATTCAGCTTGCAAGTATGAGAGGGTTCTCAATAGTAACAGATCTAGAGCCATATCTTGGGATACCGGTTTTCCATTCCAGAGTTACGAAAAATATGATTGGATTTCTGATTGAGAAAGTGTCTAAACACCTCAGTGGGTGGCAAAGTAAATTACTCTTCTTGGTTGGACGAATCACTCTGACAAAGTCTGTCCTCAACTCGATACCATCGTTTGTGATGCAGGTGATTAAAATCCCATAATCTATTTGCTCAGAAATGGATAGGTTAATGAGAAACTTTATTTGGGGCTCAACGACAGAGAAAAAGAGAATGTCCATGATCAACTGGAGCAGAGTCAGCTTCCCTAAAGCCATTGGTGGGTTGGGAATAAGACCAACACAACGATTCAACAAATCATTTATGATGAAACTGACATTCTACGTCTTAACAAATAAAGATGACCTATGGGTCCAAATCATAAAAGGAAAGTACTTGCCTCCTAACTATGACATTACGCATAAGCTCCCGACACATAATGGTTTTATCATCTGGAAGGGTATTAAGTCGGTTTGGCAGGCTACTGTAGAAGGTTATGCAATGTTAATTGGAGGTGGACTAGGCACAGATTTCTGGCGAGATAGATGGGTAGAGGGAGAGAAATCTCTTATATCCCTAGTTCCAGAGGAGTATCGACACTACATCCAACATTCCAAGGTAGCAGAACTCACTAACTATGATGGAACTTGGAAATGAGAGACATTTGCATCATGACTTCCCCCTACAACCGTTATGAGGATAACCAGCATTCTCCCGCCGAAACCATCAACGGGACCAGATTTTTTGTATTGGTGCAAATAAAAAGATAGAATTTGTTCGGTTAAAAGTGCCTACATATCCCTCTGTACATCGATTGGTTACTACCCTTCGTCTTTTTGGTCCAAATTTTGGCATTGGAATGGACTAGAGCGCATCAGAGTCTTCTTATGGTTAGTTTCTAATCATAAACTCATGACTAATAGGGAAAGGGTCAAGAGGAACCTAAGTTTAGATGTCTCATGTCCAAGGGATTGTACACACAAAGAATCTATCACCCATGTCCTCAGAGACTGCACACATGCAAAGAGAGTTTGGCGAAAACTCAGAAATGACCTAGAATTCTCAAATTTCTTCACTTTTGGAACCACCGAATGGTTTGACATCAACCTACAGGATAAGGGGATGTTCAAGTCATTATCCTGGAACACAGTGTTTGGTGTTGCCTGTTGGTATATTTGACGATGGAGAAATGAGTTCATTTTTGGGGAAGGTAGCAACAACGCTAGATCAGTCCACCTCATCCTAAACTTCTCAGAACAGATTCAGAAAGCATCCAAGGTCAGTGATCCTTCAACTAGGAAGCGAGCTAGAATTGTCAGGCACATAGCATTGTCTCATCCCCCATCGGACACCGTGAAACTGAACTCGGATGGAAGTGTCATGATTAATCCAGACTCAGCTGCGAGCGGAGGACTTATCAGAGATCAAATGGGGAATTGGCTGGTTGGTTTCAAGGCTAATCTTGGTACCTGCTCCATTTTCAGAGCCGAAGCTTGGGGTGTGCTCCTTGGTTTACGATTGGCCTGGAACCGAGGGTGGAGGAAGGTGAGGGTCGAGGTGGACAACCAGGCCTTAGTTTCAACAATCCAACGATCAGATTATGAATACACAGTTGATGGAACAATATTGAGGGAGATAAAAATCTAATAGCAAAACCCTGGCAGATTTCAATAAGTCATATATTTCGTGAAGCCAATGCTTGTGCGGACTCACTGGCTTCACTTGGTCATAAAGCATCGTGGGGTGTTACTGTGCTTGAAACTCCACCACCAAATTAACCTAATCCCACTTCGGAAGGGTGACATAGCTGGAGTGACTCACCCAAAAAATTGCCCCGTGTAATTCCTAATAGTTTTGCTCCCTTGAAGAGAAAAAAAATAGATAATTACCAAGATATCATACCAAAAAATTATTCTATTTTGCATTAACACACATATAATATTGTGATATCTCGAACTATAATGAGGGTTGAGAATGTTCGCCGTTGCAGATGACATAACCAAGAAGGTGCGACTCCCCGAATATCACTAAGGCCAAATAGATACATGAATGAATCGAACGCATTGGAATGAGGAGATCCGATGGCTATATAGGTATGTGACTATACGATCTGAGACAACATAAAAAAATTAGTTGAGCTATTCATAGCAACAAGGTGCACTTATCTTTTCGGTTGACTATATCTCGAGAGAGTTCCAAAGTTAAGCATGTTGACTCTAAATCAATCTCAGGATGAGTGATCTATTGAAAAATTTCTTGATATATATATATGAGTGAGGACAAACTATGCTGGAAAGTCCCGTGTTGTTGTGTGAGAACAGTTTCGATGTTTTCTAGTGGTCGCCGGTCATTACAAATACAATAACAAAAATAACATGCAAAAACAGTTATATATATATATATGTGAGCATATATCATAATAATAATCTATTAGAAAATGAATATAATGAGTTTGAAATATATTTCCATGTTAATGTTTATATATATATATATATATATATATATATATATTCATTTTCACCTCTTCCCAACTCCTTCAATCGGGAATACTATGACACGAATAATTCGCATTTTTTAATATCATATATTATCGACTAATGAAGGAGGGATCGGATCAGAAATGGTAGATTTTGCCAAGAGATTCTTTCCTCTCTCACACCCATAATTTTATGAATATATAAATGCGTTTAATTTTTATTTTATATATTTTGATAAATATAAATGGATGGTAATAACTGTATGCATGAAATTATTGACAACCATAAATGTAAACGTCAGTCAGGCGATGTGGTTAGCTAAATTTTCCAGTGCAACTACTAGTCAAAACTCACACTCCCATATATATATATATATATATATATATGTACGACAAACACGTACTATTCGACAACATAGTAAATAATCATTTAATATTGTTATTATATTGTCATTTCTATATGGGCAATTCAGGAAAGGAATTCCCAATCAAAAACGAAATTTCGTAAATAAATGATGGTTTCATAGCAAAACCGAGTTGGATCGAATGCTTTCCATTTTCATACCAAACAACTTTTCTATATATAAAAGAAATAACCGAATTATGAGATTCGAATTATGCATGAATATGTATATTTGATGCTGGATTTTGGTCCCTTTTTTTTGTTCATTAGAAATTGTGTATCCATATACATCGATATCATCATGTGTGAAATCCATATTGTATAAAATGTAATTTTATAATAGATAATTAATTCAGACTCTCTTCTACCCGAATTTAAAATTCAAATTTGGACAGAAGATATATTCTAAATTATGTGGCTGATCGACGATCACGAGATTAGTCTATGTTTTGGTTCAAAATATTTGTTTATACAAAAAAAAATAAAACTCTATATAATTTCCAATATACATCAATCATTAGAAAACCGTCTTAATTATAGAAGCTAATAATAATGCCAAGGACTCTCGCCTTCTACACGGGTTATTTCTCTCTCATTTTTTCGACCGTTTTATTTATTTATTGATAATTCCCTTTTGTCTTTACCATTAAATTATAATGTGCCATTTCTTCCGTACATATAGTTATGGTGTTGTTCAACGCTACTTTGGCAGTCCCACATTCAAGATTAAATACGGTCAATACATATATAAAAAAATTTAAAAAAAAAACATATACATTTGTGTAATAGCCATAAACTTTCTACGTGTTCTTATCTCCATAATGTTTTCATTAAAATGCAATGATGTAAAGATAACATTATAAGTTAATTTACATTTAAACACATTCATCGTTCATTAATCGCCCAAACCAACTTTTAGGCTTATCCGTACACACCCACCTACATTACATAGTGTTATATAATATATATATATATATATATATATATTTGGTAATTTTCTTAAATGAAAAGTACGAAAAAAAATATTATTCCTCAGAACCTTTTGTTCCTTTCCTCGGGTATCTTCCACGTGGCAAACACCCATTAGAGATGACGTGGTAAACAGCCATTGCCATTTCCCTCTGGAAGAAAGCAAATAAAAAAAATAATCATAAATAAAAAAAGCCGGGAAAAATATCGTTAGTTTAGGTTAACGCCTACTCTCAACCGTCAAACTGCCGTTATCTCGTGACTCGTCGTCAAATCCCAAAAGTCTACAGGCTCTTCGTGGCTTTTCTTCTTATAGAAGTTAACCTTACCTTTTTAGCAAAACCAAAACTTTATTACCGCGTATTAAGTCTGGCCAAAACCAAAACAAACCGGGTAACGGAATTTCCGCATTGGATCCGGTTTAGTCCGGTTATCTACGGGTCGGCTTCGGTTATGATTCTTCCCCCCCTCAGTTTCACCTTCTCTCTCTCCGTCTCTGTATATAAATGTACGTCTGAAAACGGCGTTTCTTCTTCTTCTTCGTCGTCGTGATACGTTCACAGCTAAACTGTAATCGTATGTATTTTGCGTGTATTCGCATATACATACACATCTGGGTATACGCAGGCGTGTGTGCGTATATATATACAGAGATCATTACTTCGTAATCTGAAAGCAACCTTTTAGTTTGTCGGGGGAATATCGGTTTCTTTTCCTCAATCCCAATCAGAGAAATTGTTTCAGACAAATCCGTTTGGATATTCTTAAGATTGCCAGATCGCTTGGATAATCCTTTTTTCTTCGGGTGAATCAGGCGGAGGTACGGATTGTTGAAAAGATGCAGTGTTGGATCATTTGCGAGTTTTGAATTTTGAATTCGGTGGCCATGGTTGAGGAATCGTGGTTTTGGTTTTTATTTTGTCGCATCTCTTTTGAGGATTCTCTCATTTTTTGATCTGTTTGCTATTGGATTTGATCCCACTCGTGATTTAGCTGATTTAGGTTGAAGTTCTTCTATCTCTTCGTCAATTTCTGATTATTTTTTATGGGATTCCTAGATCTGTAATTTAGCTGCCTTAAATTCTACATCGATTCACTATGGATTTCTTTAATATTGTTTCTCTTGTAGGTACAGCGAATTCCATTCCCGACATTTGAACATTGATCATGCAAATGACAGGTAATTTCCAAGTTCATTTTTACAAAATCTGGATCCAATTGTGAGATACATGAGGAAAATTAACTTTGGATTTTGATACATTTGATCTGTTTTTCCAGCTTTAGGTGAGGTAATTTCGGCTCCAGAATCCGATAGAGGTAAAGGTTTGGAGATTGAGGCCTTAGAGGATGAAAAGATTCGAAGAACGCGTTCTAGATCCTTGAAGAAGAAAGCCATCAATGCCTCATCGAGATTAACTCACAGTCTGAGGAAACGAGGGAAGCGTGTAGCTGATCAATACGCCGCAGAGATCGTAATCGAAGACGTGAGGGACGCGGAGGAGGAAAAGGCGGTGAATGCGTTTCGAAAAGCTTTGATTTCCCGGGATTTGCTTCCTCCTCGTCACGATGATTACCATACAATGTTGAGGTAATACAATACATTATATAATGTTTTTGGTTCTTTCTTGTTGCTCGTACAGTCGTACCATTCAAGATTCGTAAAGTCCCGATTTTTTGGACATGTTAATCATAGATTCTGGTTTTCTGTGATAGATTCTTGAAAGCGAGGAGATTCGATCTTGACAAAGCTATGCAGATGTGGGAAGACATGCTGAAATGGAGGGAAGAGAACAGAGTAGATTCTATCATTCAGGTGAAGGATAAAGAAGTTTTTGGTCGGGTATTTATGGTTAATTCGAAGCATATACGAGTTCTTGATTTATGGTATATGAATGAAATCTCCAGGATTTTGTTTATGATGAATACGAAGAAGTACAAAGATACTATCCTCATGGTTACCATGGTGTAGACAGAAAGGGGCAACCTCTCTACATCGAGCAGCTCGGCAAGATCAATCCCATAAAGCTAATGAAGGTTACCACAGTGGACCGTTTCTTGAGATATCATGTGCAGAGTTTCGAAAAGGCGTTTTCCGAAAAGTTCCCGGCATGTTCCATCGCGGCGAAAAGGCACATCGATTCTTCGACAACCATTCTAGATGTGCAAGGCGTGGTTAGTATCTTTTGCTTCGCATATCAATGCTAAATGTATTTGCATATCTTCGCCTTTTTGCTTTGTATTTCGTGGTTTCTGACTCGTTTGGGCGATTCCTTTCACGAAGAACTGGATGAGCTTCAGGAAACTTGCTCATGAACTTGTGATGCGGATCCAGAAAATCGACGGGGACAACTATCCTGAGGTGGGTTTACGAAAGACAGCTATTTGTGGATCGAAAATTACCAACTGAACAGCACTGAATGCTTTTTAGTTGTTTGGATAACAGACATTACATCAGATGTACATAGTTAATGCCGGAAGTGGATTCAAGCTTGTTTGGAACACAGCAAAAGGCTTTCTTGATCCTAAGACAGCAGCTAAGATACATGTATTATACATCCTTACACATATGCGTTTTCATTTGGACTGTTAATGTGTTCAACCTGACTGGAGATATTCTTATCGCTCTGCACAGGTTCTGGGCAGTAAATTTCACGCTAAACTGCTTGAAGTTATAGATCAAAGGTCGGATTTTTTCTTCTTCATTGTCTCGTTTCGATATTTTCCGAGTTGCTTAGATGTTCGGATAGAGATGGATATGGAATTTCTTTCCTTCTTTTCAGTCAGCTGCCAGATTTTCTTGGAGGATGTTGTTCTTGCTCGAATGAGGGTGGATGCATGCGATCTGACAAAGGGCCGTGGAAAAACCCGGAAATAATGAAAGTATGATCCTTTACAAGCTGATATGCCGGTTTTTATATTGTTGGTAATATTCATGATTTGGTAAAAAACTATATCATTGCTTCATATGTGCAGCTAGTTCGCTTGAGGGATGCAATGTACATTACAAAACAAAAAAGGGTTTGGGGGGAAAGAGATGAACAAGATGCTAAATTATCGGGTTTCCGGGTAAGTTTTGGCTTTAATCATCTCGTTAGAGCAAATCGGCTTTTTGTTTTCTGTTCTAATGATAACATCATATCTTCCCTAGTTGTTGCAGAAAAGCCTAAACACAGAAATATCATCTCCTGGCTTTGGAACAGACTGTGGTTCCTATACGGTGACGAGAGATGCTACTACGCAGAGGCTGTCGAATCTTGAACATGTGAGTTTACGTCGGTCCAAAATTCTAGTGTTGTTTCCTTGTTGTTATGTGTTCCAAAAAATTATAAACGAATGGTTACAACCCATTTTATTTTTTCTCAGAATCAAGCTGAAGCAGTTGGTATTGTGAGAACTGAACACAATGATCCAACAAGTAAGTGAACTCTGAAGTGAACTATGCGTTACCGTTAGCCGTTCGTCTAAAATCACATTTCCGAGTGATAATCTTCGCCCGATAATTTTTATTTGAGTTCTAATTATAATTCATCACGCTGGTTGGTTTTGTTCATTTCTCCAGCTCACTTGACAAGTAACCTGATCTTGGAAAGGAGTTTGAAGAATTCTCTTCGTCTTGTCTTCTTCCAGTTCATTTCCTGCATCTGTATAGTATTCCGGATCTTGAGGAGGGTTGTAAATAGACGACAGGAGAATCAGTTGAGACCGCAGCTTCCTCCGCATGTCCAAGGGGAATCGCTTCATCCATGTTTGCAGAGGTTGCGAGATCTCGAGACAGTGGTAACTGAATTGGTGAATAAACCGGCGAGGATTCCTCCCGAGAAAGAGAATATGATCCGAGATTCGTTAGACCGCATCAAATCAATCGAACAAGACCTGCAGAAGACAAGAAAGGTAACTAACTACTCACTGTTCTTCCTTTCTTGTTCCAACACATTGTCTGTTTCGGGTTCTTCTTCTTCCTCATTCACTGGCACCAAGATCTGACAAATCTTCTGATAGGTTCTCCTTTTAACCGCGTCAAAGCAAATTGAACTCGCTGAGTCGCTCGAGAGCTTGAAGGTCAGCAGCAACTCCTCGGTAAAAGTCCTATTCTCCTCCGATGTTCCATACAACTTAACTTGATGTGTAGTATACACACACACACAAGCATTACATCTAAATCTTATGAACCGGTCGGGTATCTGAAATTCAGGTACCGGTTAATATATGAGATGAGATCCGGTTTAATCTCGACAAAAATTCGAAAATAGGGTTCATATAATTGTACCCGAGATACTGGGTGAAAAGTGAAGTTATTCTTTTACCCCTATATTTTAGATAAATTACATCCTACCCTAGTTTTCGTTCTCTGAAAAATTTGGGTTTTTCAGATCATCCAAAGATATTGGAGACCTGACCCAAGCCAACCGGTAACATATTATATACATATTTTGAAGAAGAAAAAAATGAACTTTCGTATATAGGCCTCTACATAAATACTGGAAAATTATCTCGGGTATCCACCCCTGGCTTGAAGTATGCAGTTCTCCTCTAAAACCTTAGTCCTTCCAGCACTTGGATCGGCTCTTGATGCAAATATCGTCACTGCATGGGGCTGTCTGGTGCAAAACATTCACATTCATTTTTGCTGAAACACAGGGAATGACATCGTGTTGGCGAAGAAGCTGCACGTATTTCCCTCCAGAGTCCTGAAAACCTTTTTCGTCTTTTAATTTCCCGAAAGATACGGTCTCCCGAAACTCGGTCACTGATGAGCTACTCGAGATTATCCCTCCAGCGACATAAAACCGTAAATATCAGGTGAAAAATCTCATACATTTGCTTAGATTTCATCTTTTCTGTAAAACCATATTGGCTCATCTCCTTGGTTCTCTCTCTCTCTCTTTTTCCGGAATTGTTGCATATACAGAGATGAGAAGATTGAGTGTTATATAGGAAAGCTGAGATGGAAGAGGAAGAGGAAGAGGGAGCTTTTTTAAAGATTGTTTCTTTGTTTGTTTGTTTGAGATAAACAGAAAGCTTAAAAGCCAAACTGATGGAAGCCTCCGGACAAATGGACTTTGTTGGTTCTGTTCTGTCTTAAGCTCTCTGGTGTGTTGTATTGTGCATAAGCCTCCACAGACTCTTATTCTAACAGTGTCTTTTTATTTAAGTTAAAAGTCTTTTTAAACAGTTTCTTTTGTCCAAGTTTCTGTTTCTCTTGCCCAAATTTGGTACTTTAATTGGTGAAACCGAAACGCAAAATATCTGTTACGTCCTGAATCCGAACTTCAAGTTTAGAGAGTGAACGTATATTCCAAATCACCTAGCTGCCTCCCGATCCGATTCTAGGATTAATTTGGACCTTGGCAATACCGGTCAAAAAAAAAAATCAAAAAAGTTTCTGTTTCTCTTTGGTTCTGTAATCGTACAGAGGTCTGTCTTCATTTGCACATGCGAAAACAGAAAAAAGAATCTCTAGCGCAGTCTGCAGACTTAGAATTGAGGATTGAGGAGTTACTGGATTTGAGGTTTTCATCCGAGTTTTAAAAACTTTGAAATTTATAGATACTAGGTATTAACCCGCGCGTATCGCGCGGACTAAAAATACATAAATTTTTTTCAAAATTAAATATTATATATTGTTTTGATTCTATATTTTATATTTTTTAAATAAAATGTAGATTTTATTTTAAATACGAAGATTATTGAATGTTGTATTTTTTTGAAAGAGAGAAATATGTTATGTGTTTAATTTTTGTAAATTATAATATAGAATCAACGAATAAAATATAGAATATTAGAACAATATTTCTACAAATTTTATGACTTGGCAAAAGAGTTTTACTTTAAGTGAATCCAAGGTATCTAAAAAATATAATTATCGATAGTTTGATAAATATAATTTTAAACAATAATATAAATTTGGTTGGTATTATAAATATAAAAATAATATATTTTGATTAATAAATATTTTATAATAAAATATTATTATAATATTAAACCTATGTAATATCATCAGTAATCAAATTTCATCGATATCTATTTAATTTAATCAAATTACTGAAATAAAACACTAATATTATTAATATTTTATTTATCCCATTACACTTTAAGTCGTTGTATTTTTTTAATACACTAAGATTTGGTTATTTTATACTTAACAAAAAAATAACATTATGTCATATTTATATGTTATGTATATTTTATCAAAATAATATTGGACGTTCAACAACCCATATGAGATTAATTATCCGGAATAACCCGACCACTTTTAACAAAAGAATTTTATTTGGGTTTCACATATTATGAAATATAATAATTATCATTAAGATTTTGGTCCTATAAATCAAGACCTGACTCGATAAATTTCTGAAAAGTCTTTAAAATTAAACCTTAGTGATACATAGGGGGCCATTAATCAACCAAACTAACATTTCACGTTATATCCAATTAAAATCTTCATAGTTTCTATAGTTTTTATTAAATCAATTCAAATTCATAAGAATTAACGTAAATATAGTAGAAAATTTATTTATCGTATCTTAAACGTACGTTGGATTCATATGGGTGACGTCTTTTTTAAAATTTCAAGTTTAATTAAAATAGTTAAGAAGAAAATGAAATAGTAACAGGAGAGACTTGGACAGAAATTGTAATCTCTAAAAAAAAAGATGTTAAGACATTGTAGAACAAAGCATACACACATTGCTTTTCATGCTTGAAATTTTTTTTCATATGATCAAAACAAAAACCAAAGTGGTGTCATGTTTTGTAATTTTACATTCATATATTGTAAAAAAAACTGAAAGTTGAAATAAAATAACATCGTTGTTAAGTATTCAATTTCGCTATCTTAGTCATCAATAATCCATGATTAAAAAGTAGAATATGTTATTATTATCATCCCATGGTAGACATGAAATTTAGTTTTTATTTCAAATTTGTATTAGCAGATTCTCAATAAGTATGATCTTTTGCTTGATACCAATTAAAATGAATACTTCTGTATTTTTTTCTTTGTATTTTGTGCTTTGAATCATTAGAGTTTCTAATTTAAAAAATAAAAAGAACTCCAATTACGCTAAAATATAATAATAGATAATAAATCGAACAATTTGAGTTAACATTATTGACCATTAATCTTTTTCATTTTCAAATTTTTCCTACAGAGATTGAAGTTTAATTAATTTTTTATTATTAAACTTTTTTAATTTAGATATTAAAAAAATTATGGTAAACATCCATCAGTTTCTATTTTCCACGATGACATAGATATCTAGGCAAAAAAACTGGAAAGTCTAACAGCGTTTTAACTTATTTTTTTGTTCATCAAGACATTGATAAAAACATGGAAAGGGTTTCCAAGCAAACCGTATCGAATATTTTACAATTGTATCGAAGAATTTACTTATAAAAAACTGACTTTTTTATCATCTTTCTCCTCTTGTTACTGCAAATTTTTCTACTTTTTCAAGTTTTGAGAACCATAAGTTCTTTTGTATCACTTTGTGAAATATAAAATAGTATCTCAAAAACTATCATACGATACACATACACATTTATATATCAAACATAGGTGAAGCCAAAAACTATAAAAATATATTTCAGTTGGTTAATTGAATCAGTAGCCGATATGGAATTAGAAAATCGATTTTTGGTTAGCTTAACCGATTTATTAGGTTAAAATCAAGAAACATATCTAATTTTCACGGTTAAACGTACCGTAAGAAGATGACGACGCCCCATTTTGTCGACCAATATCAAACCCAACAAAGATCGGTAACTTCAAAAAAACAAAAAATCGAAAACCAATCTGAAATCACATGTCGGTCCAAAAAGATTATAAAACCGAATTAATTAAGTAAACTCAAATAAAATACCATAACGATCGCTAGTATCATTATTCTGATGCTGCTTAGAAAACCTAAACATGAGAATAAATAAACATTTTGATATTTATAATAATTATACCGATTTATATACTAATTTCGAATACAAAGTTCAAAAAATAACCGAATTCATAAATTGGATATGTCACTAACCGGCTCTTTCAAGGATAGAACTTGCGTAATATATCACACTGGTATTTCCCGAAGTTGTTGCAAAAGCATTAGACTGACTCCGACCTAAACCCATAAACCGAAAATTCGACCGAAAAAAATAACGATATATGAATCCTTCATCAAAATAATATTTTTTGGATAAGATTGATCAAACTAAATACTTACTATAACGGCATGAATATATTTTTTGAAAAATGTCTAGAATTCCACTCTTGAGACCTTGTTCAAATGCTTCAACCATTCCTAAAACCAGAAAAATCGGTACAATGCAACGATTTAGGTTTATAAAAATCGGTAGAACACAAATCGGGGGGAGAATTTTGTGTACCTGAATGGCTTTCGCCTTGTGGGCCATTGATCTCAAAGACACTCAAACACCAAAATAATTGATTGATAGTTATATTAACGTATAAACATTATTTATAGTTTAGAATTAATTAATATGTGTTGTTATTATTTAGTGGGTGTAGTTATTGTTCAATGAATTCAAAAACTAAATTAATTATTTATTAATAAAGTTATTACGTAGTCCGCATCAATTTTTGAGAATATGGTTTTCTGGAAATTATATTGTGTCATATTAATGGGTAATAAATTGTTTAAAAAATCTTTCATATTCTTCTCATACTCCCTCATCAATTTACTGTACTTTTATATATAAAGATTAGATCGTTTTAAAAAAAAATAGTTAATATGAAACTCATTGATCCAATAATCACTTGTAATATTATTTTTTATTGAAGATTTGTTTTATGGGGAAGTTTTAGAAATGATAAATACGATTTTAAAATATTTTATTATAAACTTTGCACCGTATATATATACACACTCTCTAATGACTAATGATGAAATCGATAACTTTTCAAGCTTTAACAAACTAAAAACCTTGTTTCAATGTTGTATAGTGATAATATTTTTTTAACAAAAAGATTGTTCCAAGTATTGATCTTATTGTTGTTGTTATTAGATGTGTAAAAATAGATATTTAACTTAAAATCATAAAATATATTTACATAAGATCGTGATAAATTATAATATTAATATCTTTATATAGATGAATGTAGATGAAACGTATACAAAAACTGAAAAATGGTAAAATATAATATCTTTATATAGATGAATGTAGATGGAAACATTTTATAGAAATTTTTTTAAAAATATTATGTATATTTTATTATTGTAACATTTTTCATTATTATTCAATTAAAAATATTGAAATAAAATTTTCCGCATAGTGCAAGGGGAAATAGGGTAAGACCAGCAATGGCAGTGACTATACATGCATTTCATCCTGAAAAAATATGTAAAATTACTCTAAACATATTTTTTCAAAAAATATATATGAATAATTTTATATTATAATAATGTAATGATATTTAAATTCTTTTATTTCTTCATTTCTTCATATATATATATATATGTATATATATATATATATAAAATTTTACTACATATATTCTAATATTTTTTTCATAACACCAAAATAAATATATTACAATAATAATAAAAAGAATAATCCGCGCATCGCGCAGATCACATCTAGTCAATGATAATGATGACGATGATTTTCCTCCACGTCACAATCTTATCTAACAATTTATGTTTATATATTCTGTCTTCATGCATTGTATGAAATCCGAATATCTCCTATATATGGAACCTCAAATTCTCAGTATGTCAAGAAAGTTTACGTATAAAGTCTTACTTAGCATACATAGAGACGATAATTTTAGTATATGGAGGAATAAATGAAGAAATCTTATACCAATAACCAAAAAAAAAACTAATCATTCTTATCTTTTCCTAATGTTTTGTTATTTTAGTTGTTTTTTTCTATTGAATTCTTGGTATGTGTTCATCACATGTGGAAAATGGCTAATTTGAGAATATTATAGTTTATATGGTTATAAAAAAATTAATTATGATAAATCTTGACCAATCAATTATGTTTAATTTAGAATAGCATACTTTCCTTAACAATCTAAAGTGTGCTATATAAATATACAAGAGACCGGATACTTTTTTCTAATTAATTGAGAATAAACAAGAGGGGGAAAAAATGAAGACAACTTTCTTCATCGCTGCTTTGCTGATTTTATCATGTGAGCATACATTTCAATTATCTACTTTCTTTATGTTTTGAGACTCGGAATGTGCGAACGCGCAGCCGTGCCCGGTTCGGATGGCTTGTCTCTTCGGCACATGCATCTGTCCCTTCCATACATATGTAAAAACAATGGTACAGGACGATATAGCCGCAAATATATGAAATGGACACATGAAACAAGTGAATATATAGATATATATGTTATATTTAAGCCTAATGCGTCAAAGCTTCATGATCAATGTGTGTAACTATTTAAGAGCAAATAGAAAAACCATGCAAGTCGCTCGATTAGTGATATATATATATATATATATATATATAAATATATATGTTGCCTTTAAAATCCAATCCACACTATCGTATGTATATCGCGAAATAAAATGGCCCACTGATATGGTAATAAAAATATTAATGTTCTATCCAATTAATACACATATGATATAGTTTTTAAAAGAATTGTGTGTTTTGGTGTTTTCCTTGACACGATTGATCTACGTGTTCTCTTCTCTTTTCACAAAGTTGTGTAATCATTCCACTTGGACATATGCATAATAGATTGCTATTTTCACTCGGAGATATATATCATCTTTATAATAAAAACATATATCATCACATATGTTAATTCAATTATGAGAGTTTCTGAATTTGATGATAATTCAAACATATACGATCCACCAATAAAGATATTATTGCAAAGGATATAATATAACTAAAGATTGTCCTTTTGTAAATTTTGTTTCACAAAAGATATTATATTGTTTATATATCATCACCCGATTTCGAACCCATCTTAGATTAAACTTTACAAAAAAAACAACAATTAGCTTATTTACATGAATGGTGTTCAAATGAAATTACAAAAAAAAAGTCTCTCTAATATTAATCTATTTACCGAGGTTATATGTGATGATATAATATCATATATAATATAATATCATAATGCAATTAACATATGCGATGATATATGTTTTTATTATAAAGATGACATATATCTCCAATATCAAAAGTCAATAAACCATATTCCATCCGTCTCAAAATAATTGTTGTTTCAGGTTATTTCACATTTTTTAAGAAAAGAGAGAAAAAGTCACATATACCCTTATTTAATGATAAAAAATATTATCATTAATAATTTATTAGAATTTAATAGGGATAAAATTGGAAACCATTGTAAAAAATGTCTTGAAAATATAGAATGACAAATATTTTGAAACATGGAAAATAACTTAAAACTACAAATATTTTGAAACGGAGGGAAATCAGATATATTCAAATAAATATATTAATGTTCGAATTTATTTCCTTCAAAAGGAATGGAAAAATAACTTAAAACTACAAATATTTTGAAACGGATGGAAATCAGAGATATTCGAATAAATATATTAATGTTCGCATTTATTTCCTTCAAGAGCAAGGGAATTAACACGTGCTTCGTCCAATACAACCTTTTTTGTGGTCCGCTTTGTCATCTACTGCTACATGTAAAATTGATGCCATTCATCTGTATCGTAGAAAACCATGGTTAGCATTATTATATAAGTAATCTTTTTTTGTCTTGAAGTTATTAAATATGTAATCTATCATAATTAAATTATGTCAACTTAAGTTTATAAAGATATAGTTTTTTTTCCCAGAAATTTGTTATATCTCAAAAGTTCAAAAGATAACAAAAAAAAAAAGTCAATAAATAATAATTGTCTTAATTTAGAGATACTCAAATAAATATATTCATATTGAGATTTATTTCCTAGAAGGGTCTCAAAATTACCATATATATATATATACACACACAACATCCCTCTCAGCCTCCGTAATATGGTCACACAAAATCAATAGCATTAAGAGAAAACTAGATAAGAAAATAGAGATGGGTTCATTTAAGACAACATTTTTCTTGGTCCTCTTCGTCACCTCGACCTTATGTGAGTCCCAATCTCTCATATCATGGCTCCTTGCTTGGTGTGTGTGTATGTATATATCAATCAACTGAATCATTTTTGGTAAAAAGGAAAGGGACCAGTCCTTTTTTGCAAAAATAAATCATCTACATAGAGAACAATTACATTTATTTCCAAATTCAAAATTTTACATTCAATGAATATAATCCAAAACAAGATCAATGATTAACTCATATATATTAATATATATATATGGTTGTGGGTTTCAAATGAAGGTTTTACAAAGTCGGAGGGAAAATGCCACAGAGACTCGGAATGTGCGAACGCGCAACCGTGCCCGGTTCGGATGGCTTGTCTCTTCGGCACATGCGTCTGTCCCTTCCAACCTCAGGAACTCTCCTCCGGCCAATCGCAACGCGAGAGAGAGGGCAAAAAGGTCATTACCCCTCCCGCCGCTAATTGATTGCCGGAGCTTCGACTTCTCTCTTGAGATTTTGTACAATAAATAATAAAATAATATGATATGCTTACACCTTTTCCATTGCTCCTTTCTTACGAGGATGAATATGATATGCCAAACGATGTACCGACAAATTGCTTTGTTCATTAAACCGCATGCAAAAATTATAGTGACATATCCATCTCTATTTCTGTCATATCATGTATATCGTTCTCTTTATCCTTTTGATTTTACTTATTAAATGTGTATAGAGTTGCTACGACGACAATAATAATACTATCGATATTTAAATTATAATTTGATTCGACACATGGATAAATTTATCTTCCACTCATTTATTCATGTTTTAATACAATCATTTTAATCGAATACAATTTAGGATTTTAAGTTATTCCAATGTTAATATTGCCCCTGTTTCAACTAAATATTAGATTAGACATTTTACCGTATTTTACGAAATGATATCGAATTTAGTATGTTTTTTAAATATTTTATATATAATTTTTTATTATTCTGTGTGTTAATTCGTAGTTTTGAAAATTATGTTGTCTTTAATGCAATTATCTAAGAAAAGGTGCGTAAAAATTATAGAATACCACTTATTTATGAAACAATAACAAAAATATGTGAAAAAGTGGGTCAAAAAAATGTAAAAAGATTATTATTTTTTACCTAAATAACAGTGTGAAACTATCTAGTTTTGAGACCGCCTTTAATGAAATTATCTCGGAAATCAAAATCATAGAATGACATTTATTATGAAGAAAAAAAACTATATATATATATATATATTTGAGGTGATAATTCACCTGTCATTAACAATGAATCCAAGTAATCAAACAAAATCTTTTAGAGATTTGTGAAGAATAACAATGAATTTATGATTAAGAGATTATTATTTCGACCTAAATAACGGTATAACTTGGTCCACGCCAGTATTTTGAGGTGATAATTCACCTGTCATTAACAATATATTAATGACGACAGATGTTTGTCGGTATTGTAAAATTTAATTTCTATGGTCGGACTCAAGTGGGCCTAAACTCATGA